TAGCTACCGGTATGTATGTATAAATATTAATTGCAGTATGTTTAATAAACACAATCACGCACACTGGCGCAAGCAGTGGATAACAAGTGAAGAAAAAGAAGAATGACGTCGTCGTGCCGAGAACAGCTGCTGTTGAATATAACTACAGCAAGGTATGGCTGTGCGTAATACATATACAGAAATATTTATGTAAATTCTTATATCAAAATCAGCATTAATAAGCGAGCCACATTGATAGTGCGTATATAGGCTATACATGAGTACTCTTGTACTAGACCAAATGCATTATTATTACTCATACGCAATGACATACTACAAGCGTGCCATATGAAAAGTCTCGCTATGTAAAGCAGTCAGCGTATACATACGTGTATATAGATATTTGAATGTTTACTTGCTTAGTTGCGCCTTTTAGCTATTAAACTGTAGATGCGCATTAGTTGTGTCATGTTGAATTAAGATTTTCTTCCCCGCTTTCTTTAAACATATGCTCCAAGCCGTTCAAGCTGTCAAATAAACACCCGCAAGCCCCATAAGAATACATGAATATGTATTATATGCATACGTTTGTGTATGTGTGTTTGTGTGTGTACACTTAGGAGTAAGCTTGTGTCGGAATGACAGTTATTGAGCGGTTTTTCGTAATATGATTGTCTTTTATGCTACAAAACTAACTGACGTGTCTACACACATAATGACACAATAGTAAACATGCTCTGATATGGATGTATATCTGTATGTACGTGTATACAACGATATTTATGCAATTCAGCTCATAGCTAAGCTGAAGGCAACTAAGATGCATGGCAGTGCTTAGAGAGTTTTATAACTACTCACATACACACACACGCATATATACGAATGCGTATATATATGACGTAAGAATATATGCGTTTGTGTGTGATTTTGTTTGTGTTCTATAATAACTGTATTTAGTTTATAAATAATATCTTTTTGCGTATGTACGTTTGATCTTTTGTTTATAAATAAAACATTGAAACTGTAGTACGCTTTCTCTCTTTATCTCTCTCTAGCTCCACTAGTACTGTTAGTACATTAATTTCAATGGCTGTTGTTATGTTTGTGGTCTTAAGTTTTCGGCTCAACATCGTAATCTCACCGTATGGAGATAACTGCGGAAATGGGATTAAAGTTACACATTTATATAAGTTATTTTGTATCCTCTGCAGATCTGCAGTTGTATATATGTACATGTTTTTTGTGCTTACATGAGAGTATGGGCTTTGACCTAGTTATAACGTTACAAAGTAAGTTCGCAAGGGAGGCGGATGCCTTAAGTCATTTTCAAAGGAACTAAGTATTTACTTAAATTGATGAAGGACTTGCAAATGTCAGCATTTGCTCGACGTGAAAACATTACCAGAAATTGTTGTTTTAAAATAAACTGCTACTTGATGTAAAAAAATATCAATTATTTTATATTTTTAAATCATATTAAGTTCCCAGATCTATCAAACACCGACGGCTAGGACCTACGGGGCAGAGTTTTATTTTTCACGAGAAGAAAGGACTGTAGGAAGGATATTAATCTCAATGATAAGTGATATATGGAAAAAATCGTATATCATGACTTTATTTATATCCTCTTGGGCTGGTAGGCTCATGTTTTACCAGCGTTTTAGTTTGGTTAACAGGAAAAGGCGACCGGTGGTGGGGCAGGATCAGAGAAGTGACTACGCCAAATTTTGGGAAAATGTTGAAAAACTATATAGTAGTTCCAGACGATGCTCTGATACGACAATTTTTGAAATCCTGACTAAGGTTAGCGCCAGATGCGTGCCAAGATTACTCAGAATTCTGTAAAAACAACAGCGTATAAAGCGGCTTATTGAGAAAAATTGGTACCTTAGACAAACTTGGCTTCATCGTCATGAAGCTGAGTCGAAAATAGACTGAGGAATCGCCTAAAAGGTTGGAAGATGACACGGTAAGTTGGGAAGCTCATGGTAACGGTGTTTAAGAACTCCTTAAATCAGCACTTTTTGCTACAACTTTAGTTTTCATTGGAGTTTGGTTGAGTTCTGTTGGTTAAGCTGGGGTTGGAATTTATGTTGCTTTAGACGAAGTCAATTCCATTCTCCAATCTACAATCAACTATTCTTTTCATCCATCATGCGATCGAAATAGCAGTACGGAAGCATTGAAAAAAGACTTCGATTTCTTGATTTGAGTTGCTTGAATCAAAGCTGAAAAGCGGGCAAATACTGCTACAGGAGTCTTTTCTTTTCGGTTTAGATATCAGAAGCAGATAACTTCCTATGACGCTGATTGTACCCATATGGAAGAATTGATGGATAAACTGAAGATTTCATGCTAGCTCGATGGCGTATTCTAAATGGTTTTTCTACGCATTCCGCACACCTCAGACACGCTCACAAAAACTTTTTTATTTTAATGGCTTTTTCGTCGGATATAATACGATTCGCCGACTCGTGTCTTTAGAAGAACCAAAAAAATGGCGAAGAAAAAAGGCTCATTTTTTAGGGGTGATGCTCAAAGGTTTTCAGAAAAAAAGCAGTCACTTTCGACGCGCTTTTATACGAGATCTTATTTATTTTTTTAATAAAAGAGAACATATTTTTGAACTCTCAAAATCGGACCAAATTAATTTATACTCCCAATATTAATGTGAGTTTCATTGTACAAAAAACTAACAGTTGGCAAACACTACTTTTAGAATGTGGTCAATTAAAATATTTTTAAATGTTGGCAACTCTACTTTAAAAGTTTTTTCCCATAAAATCTTTCACAATCCCTTTCCAACATTTTTAATCTCATACATAAACTGTGTAAAGATTAATTTTAGTTAAACTCACAACAAATTCTTTGCTCTCAATTTAATTACTGTCTCTCCCTAACTGTTAACACTATTATTTTACTATTTATCTTTGTGCTCTAAGCAACTTAATACAGAGTTGTATGTTTAGGGAAATTACATATTAATACGTAAGCCAATACGTACATGCAGCGGTAAAACATTTTCCATACGCTGCAACCCATATCAGATATCAAATAATACATGGAAAATCTTATAGAAATATTTTAATGCCAAGCAGTGTTTGGTAATGTTTGAATTTTCAGAAAAGCTGAGGCATAATTTATGGCGCAATTTGTGTTAATTACACTTTAACTCATTTAAATGGGGATAAATGAGTTTTCAGAATTACGTAAATTCTTCAACAACATAGAAACGTGCATACATACATACATATATATATATATATATATGCCAGAGTTACACACCTGCTTAGATATTTTTGACTAAAGCATACGAAAAAAAGTGTTATGCATTAACATCTTCAACGAGCTTTGAGTCAAATAAGTTATTTGTCTGTAATTAATTATATCTCAGTTTACGAAATTTTTATTAGTCTTTGTTGGTATGTATAATCACAAGCAGAATTGTTTTGAAAATTGGTCTGGACCAAATATTTTAAGGCATTTAAATTAAAACCGAGCAGATTGTGAAATGTTGTTTCCTTTGAAATGTAGTTGGTATAATACCCAATAATTTGCTGCTACTAATGCGCCTAACAGTATGCAATAATTTACGCGGTGTATCACTACGAATTTTGTTTAAGTTTCATTATACCACACAAGTTTGGCGTTATTATTTGTTAAAAAAATGTATTAAAAATTTATAAAACAGAAATAAAATTGTGAAATTATTCATATATCTTGGTGAATTTCGCTGTAAGAAAATGTTTTTCAAAGAACGTTTTAAAAATTCGAAAGAAATAAATTTATTTTAATTAAGTTAAAAATAAAAAATATTTAGTATCTTTGTTGTCCTAAATAATTGAATTTAATTCAGAATAATTCATATGTGTTTTAAAGTAGTTACTCATAATCATAAATGTAGCTTTTTATTTAATAAGAAATGCAAATAATGGAAATGAGTTTTGATTTTTGAAAATTAAAAATAAATTTTAATGTTCTATAATTTAAGTAAAAAATAAATCTTTCTGTTTGTTTATAAATAGGGGGCGACAACACTTAAGCATAATGATATGGATTTCTTCTTCTGAGAACTGAAGTTAGTTGCAAATAAACTAAATTATTTTTGTTTTCACCGATTGTGTTTCATACGCGTTTTGACTAAATAGTTGATTGACAATTTTGGTTTTAAGGAAAACAAACAAAATACTCAAAGAAAAAGATAAGCTGTTTTCTCTAACTAAAACCGCCAAAAACCTGTAACATTGTTAAATTTGTTTGTCAGATAAATGTGCCTAAAAGAATCCAAAACTGTTATGAATAGAAACCTACCTAATGGTGAGGATTATTAGGTATTGAATATTGCATCGAAAATTATCCACAAATGAAATATTTGTGTTATTTAAAAATGAATTTTACAAGTTATTGAGTCAAAAATCTTGAATAAGTTTTAAGTTTGCACTTCACCATTGAAACAATTTTTTTATTGTTCCTACAAAAACTTTCAGCTGGGCTAGCAGTGGTTTCCCTCAAATATTTTTAATCCAAAAACTTAAAAGTATGCTTAAAATCGATACCTGCTCAGCAAAAGATCGTTAGTGCCTAAAATAATGCATTTAATTTGTTGCTGTTTTCGCTCCTAAATGTAGGCATCTGGTTTTTCCTTAAACTGTAGTAATCTTAAAATTTTATACTGATTTCGAAATTGGTACAACTTCTTCTTTGCTAGAAATATTTTCTGTCAAAAAATAATAATGAGATTAAAAAATAATTGGGTTTAAGATGAAATTTTTATGCAGATAAAAAACTGCCAATCAACCAATAGCAACCGTTATTTAAAGAAAAAATTTACTTGAATTTTTCAGCACCAAATCAGTTAAAAGATTTAGATTGAGTTTCAAATTAACACCAATTCATTCAATATTGTAAATTTAATTTTTAGAAAATTTAGAGAATTATTATTTTTTTCTTTTGTTTTTGTTATTTAAGTATCTATTTCTGTAAGGGGGATTTTGGTGGTTCGAAAATAATTTATGTTTTACCATGATTACAGCGCCGCCCGCTATTATAACACGGGCCGTATGGGAGACTTGCCCCTCACCATTGCGTGCAATGCAAGTGTACTCTCCGATGTCCTCGTGTCGTATGGTGGAGATCCGTAACTCGGTGCCATCATTAAAGATGCCAACAGTAGGCGAGGGATCAACGGGATTAGCATCTTTGTACCATAAGATTTCGGGTGTTGGTGTACCATCGGCTTGACAATTTAGAATAATTGAGTCGCCTGTGGAGAGAGAAAGAGGGAGAAATATGGGGAAAATATTAGCATCGAAATAATGGGAAAATTAAATTGTAAACATATCTAAAAATCAAATTAACCATATGAAAATGTTTTTCTTTTTGATTCTTTGTTGTATTTGGAAATAAAAATATGAGATTTAATAAATTCAATGTTTTTTTTTTATTTTTCCTCTCTGAAAAATTTACACACAGCTGAGCGCTTGTGACAGAGACAGGCGTTGGTTGCCAGTCAGCCAGTCCGCCAGCTAGCGATAAGCTGTCACAGTGCGGACAGCAGTAGTTGAGCTTACTTTTTTCATTGCGGTTTTACTTTTCATTTTCAACTTCATAATTTTTGTAATTTTCATTTCTCATTTTTCCTTGCTATTTCTGCTCATTGTCTGCCGCTTGTGGAAGTATGTCTTAATATTATATTATTTTTTTAGTTCTTGCTTTATTTTTATATGTGCAAATGTATGTGAGCGTGATTGTGTGTGTAATATTTGTTATTGTTGTTGTAACGCGAACAATTGCGCAGCAAACTTTGCTTCCGGCTTATCAACAAAGCACTCGCTTACCTCAGCTTCTTCAGCAATTTCCCTTCACTCCCCATTGTGTGGGCACTTCGCACTTTGCTAGTGCTCTGCCCTGGTGTGTGCGTGTGCGTGTACGTGTGCGTGTGTATGAGTGTGCGTGTGTATGAGTGTGTGTGTGTGTGTGTGCGTGTTTATTGTTTTCGTTTAGATAATTTGCCATGAAAACTGCCGCTTGGCTTGTCTTCTATGTTTCAGTGAGTTATATACATAGGTACATAGATTTTTTTATCTTTATCCACTTCATTCTGCAGGAGTTGGCATAAATAGGATCAAAAGTGGAGGAAATGTGGCAGAGCAGCAGCAGCAACAACAACAGAATACTTAAGTGAGAGCAACAAAGCATGCCAACGACATTTGGTCGCTCATTGTTTTAATGAAAGCCGTTACAAGCATAACTAGTTGCTGCAATTGTTGTTTTTGTTTTTTTTTTTTCGGTTATAGTAAATTAGCTGCCTGGCATGAACAGTGTTGCAAGTCTCTGCATATAATTGCATCGCGTGGCGGTTGTGGCTTACAAGTGAGCTCTTTTGTGTTCTGTGGCAACGCTTCCTCCTGATTTTTATTTGCAAAAAATATACATATACTCTTATATTTAGCTCCAGCTTCCCGTTACTCGTTCATTTCGTACGCGTTGGCTTCCTTCCGCTTCACATTTATTTTATAATATTTTTATTATTTTCTATTACTTTTTTTTAGCTATTTAATGAATGCTGCAACACAGTGGTCTATATGACTCAAAAAAAAAAAAAAAATAATAATAATAGGGATAATAGTGATAATAACAATTTTGGTGAGGGCACAGTATAACAATTTTTACCATTTAAAAAATTTATTCGATTAAAATACTTAGAATAGCTTGGAAACGTTTTAATATTGACTTATTGAAAAGATCTTGCTGTGGACATCCCGAGTTCATCCAATTCGAGCAGAGGTGCTTGGAAAAAGAGGTCTGATGAGGAAACGTGGTTATTTCCGTACCAGCAGCTATAAATAGTGAAAAAATTACAACAACAGTAATTTTTTTGACTATTCCCAAAAAATATATTATCTAAGATCTATTTTTTGTCTTTTGAATTTCGCGACTATGTACAAAGCGCTAAAGAGCTCGTATCTGGCAACACTATACATAATTTGAAAGGTCTCGACATAACCTACAAAACAACGCTATGGATGATTAATTTGGATATTTCGTTCAACAGTTATAGACGTGTAAACATGGAGTTCACTAACGCCGAAACTCGCGCTATTTTAAAGTTTTCCTTCGTTAAAGGCAAATCCGCTAGAGAAACGTTCCGTGAGATTAATGGTGTTTTGGGGGATGGTACTCTATCACTTCGAACCGCGGAGGAATGGTTTCGACGATTCAGAGCTGGTGAAATCGACACCATGGATAAGCCAGCCGGCGGTAGACCTGTGACGACAAATACCGATCAAATCATGGAATACATCGAGTTAGACCGGCATATGGCATCTCGTGGCATCGCCCAGGAGATGGGAGTTTTTCACCAAACCATTTTGAACCATCTGCAGAAGGCTGAATACAAAAAAAAGTTTGATGTTTGGGTGCCGCATAATTTGACGCAAAAAAACCTTTTGGACCGAATCAACGCCTGCGATATGCTGCTGAGTCGGAACGAACTCGACCCATTCTTGGAGCGGATGGTGACTGGCGACGAAAAATGGATCACATACGACAATATCAAGCGAAAACGGTCGTGGTCGAAGGCCGGTGAATCGTCCCAAACAGTNTTTTATTTTATTTTATTTTATTTTATTTTATTTTATTTTATTTTATTTTATTTTATTTTATTTTATTTTATTTTATTTTATTTTATTTTATTTTATTTTATTTTATTTTATTTTATTTTATTTTATTTTATTTTATTTTATTTTATTTTATTTTATTTTTATTTTATTTTATTTTATTTTATTTTATTTTATTTTATTTTATTTTATTTTATTTTATTTTATTTTATTTATTTTATTTTATTTTATTTTATTTTTATTTTTTTAAATAAACAGAATGCATTGCAAGTTCTGGTTTTTAAACGCACTCATTTTTTTAATATTCAGAACATTACAAAAATTTCGATTTAAAATACAAATTTTGTAATAATTCAAGCATTTAATAATAAATTTTTGAATTACATATAATTAAAAGACTTTAAATATTTATATTTTGTATATATTTTTTTTTACTAAAAATCCTGAAATGGTTTTATTTTTTTAAGACCACCTTTAAAAGACTTTCCCACTAAGAGACGTTATCATAAATATCTTCTTTAACTCAAAATTTTCACCTTTTATCCCCTCATTTCTACCAAAAAATCTTCTCTGTTGTGGTCGTAATTCTTGCACTTGAATTGGGCGAGTACTCCCGCTCCGCAGCTTCTCATTATTTACGATCCATTCATTGCCTTGCGTCATACATTTTCCTATTCGGTCTTCCTTTGACTCATTTATTACCATAAAACATGTATTTATTTGTTGATTTTGTTGTTGGGAATTTTTTTATTGTGTGGTGCTTTGTTATTGTTGCTGTTGCTGTTGCTGTTTCTACATTATTTCTATTTCTATTGGAGCAACCCACAATTAAAGAAAAAGAAAAACACACACAAATGGCTACAATTGGTCTCAGAGTAATTTCTTGTTGTTGCTGCTGTCCTTTGTTTATTGCTGCGCTTGTTCTCTTGCATACCCACTCACTTGTATGCTTATTGTGTATTCTTGTCGTTATTTTTGTTATTTTTCTAAGCTTAAAGTTATTTATTTTTTTTTTTATCTTTTTCCTCCGTTTCAGCCACTAAACTTCAATTGGCTCTTCCGCTTCTTCCTTGCCACATGGCTTTTGTTTATCTAACCAACGCATTTTAATTACTTTTTAATTAACAAAGTTATTCTCTTTCTATCGCTCTGGCTAATGTGTGTGTGGGGGTAATGAAGGCGGCTTAAATGTAAATAGGTCTGCACTTATAAAAGAATTTAAATAATTATTTTTTTCTGCGCAAATTCTTTTAAAGTGCAGTTTTAAATGAATTCTGGGTGTGTATTTTAACTTTGCATTTCAAGAAATTTGAAAATAATTTAATATAAAAGAAATATTTTAATAAATTCTTTAAGCTAATAGCTTCACAAGCGTAGAAAATAATTGAAAACAATTTATGTTCAAGATGGATACCAGAAATGAGGCAAAGGCAACAAGTAGTGCGCCTTCGTCGGGCAAATAGACTTTGAGAACGTGTTTAAAGCTCCAAAGCTATGATGCTGAACTGGCGAAGCTTTTACTAGGGGTAAAGAGGCAGAATTGTAGGGTGTAATTGAGGACAAGAAATGCCCGAAATGCAGGCAAATGTATGAAGTCAGTGAAGCACACAATCTGTGAGTGAGCATTTCAGCAGATAAGTCTTATGTTCTTAATACTACAGACCCAATGCAATGTGTCTGGCAATACTATGCAGGTAACGTTGTCTAAGTGATACCCATTGAATCAGCCAGTTAAACATAACCTCTCAACATTAGATGAACTATCTATTATTTTATATGAACTTATTTAGTAACAGGAAGTAGGACCACTGGCCCATGGATAACAAGACTGTCAGATACACTTTTTATAATATTCAAGTGAAGCCAAGAAGAAAGCTATTTTTTTTGCTAGTATTCTTTATATAAATCTTTCTAGAAAGAACTTAAGAAATAATAGCAGAAGAAATGGCACACTTTTGGGTGCTCCAGGAAGATTATAAGAGCTTTGTTTGTGCTCATCAATAAGTCTTTTTTCAGTAATATCGGCTTCCGATAATAAAAGGATTAAAGTAAACTTTCTGAAGCAAACTTAGGTATTTAGGTATTTTTCAATGTCCAGAATCAAAACTAATGCAAAAGAGTATACCTAATAATAAAATAAGTTATTTTCCTAAATATATATGTAGGTATATGTACGTGGTAGCCGCGGCAGCCGAGTGGCTAGCATTCCTTACTGCCATTCGGAAGACCCAGGTTCAAATCTTCATAAGAAAATCGTCCTCCGTTTGGAAGTGGAACAAATTGGAGGAGGAACTTGGCCAAAAATCACTTCAGCGATTACAAAGCGCTAATTATATATATATATAATATATATGCGTATCTCTCGTGATTTGTTAGAAAAAATTATTCGAAATAATTTTCGTGCGTGTTTTATTTTTATTTATACCAGTATTTAATATTTAGATAATATTATATAAATATATGTAAAATATAAACATCAATAATGAAAATAATTTAAAGACTCTTCTGTTACTAAAGCACTTTATACGACTTTGGTGAGGCCAATAATAGAATAAAGTTTACTGATATAGAACACCAATTATCACATTCATTCCGATAAATTGGAGTCTATTCAAAAACAGTTTTTTCTCTTTACGTTAAAACA